CTGAATCCATCTTTACTGTTTTTCGAACCTATTGAAATGTTCGGAGTGATGATCAAATAGGTGCTGCCCTTGCTCCACAGTTTGACAGTGAGTGTGCACTAAAATTCTAACATTATGTTGTTGCACAGAAGAAAATGGTTATCTTGTCAGAAGCATCTCAACAGATGTGTCCTGATAAAAGTCCTTTTTAACACCATTATCACTCCCAGCATGTTTCCTGATACAAGCATGATGGAAATCATTAAAAAGCCAACAACTTTTGAGCCTTAAGAAAACAATGAATGGTTCCTTGTGCTAGTTCTGGTACAGTAGAAGCACCAATTATCTGCATGCCAATTGTCTATGTGCCAAGACCAAGGCTGCAAAAATTTTAAAATAAAATCCAGTTATGCACATCTGCAAATTTGCACGCATCCTTATTAACCTTGTGTTCATGTACATAACTTTGCACATGTGACCCATTGTTTTTTTTGCTGTAGCAAAGGTACGTTTTTATTTTAAAGTGCTTTTAGGCAGTGTAGAGAAAAGCGGGGTGTGTGTGAGAGAGAAAGAGAAGCAGGGACAAAATGAGAGAGAGACTGGTAGCTACAGTGTAGTATTATAGTGACAATACTAGTATAATGCCTGATGTAACAGCACCTTGGGACATCTTTCCTATGGTGAAGGGCACTATACAAGTGTAATTTGTTGTTATAATTTTTTAGTTGGCAGTGTAGCCTATTTGTATTTTGCACGATAATCTGTACTGTTTACTTATCTGTATCGGGGCTCATCCCAATTAATACAGATAATAGGCTCCCTACTGTAACAGTTAATATATCTTATGGATTTCAGTAAGGCCTTTGCTACAGTTCCTCTCGAGAGGCTGTTACTGAATAAAGAAAGCGGGAATCATTACAATGGATACACAACTGGTTGACCAGAAGAACCCAGAGGGTGGTGGCATCAACTTCATGATTGCATGATGACTTCAACTCACCAGCCAGTCAGGAGCCTGGGTGTCTTGTTCGACCCTCAACTGTCTTTTCTTCCCCACATTCAAGCCATGACCCGCTCTGCCTTCCCTCACCTCTGTAACATCACCCGACTCCGCACTACTTCACCCCTCAGGCCCCTGAAACTCTTGTTCATGCCTTCATTACCTCCAGGCTCGACTATGCAAACGCCCTGCTTGTCAGCCTTCCCAACTCCTCCCTCCACAGGCTGCAGATAATCCAGAACTCTGCAGCCCGTGTCCTCTCCCACACCAAACTCCGTGACCCCATCTCCCCCATTGGTTCCCTATCCTTCAGAGGATCCAGTTCAAAATCCTGGTCCTCACCTAGAAAGCCTTCCATGGCCTCGCCAAACCCTACCTCTGCGACCTCCTAACCCGCTACCAACCCGCCCGCTCCCTCCGCTCAGCCGGCTCCAGCCTGCTCCACGTTCCCCAACTCCTCTTCGACCCTACCATTGGTCACCCCCCTTCCCCTCCCCTCCCTTCTCCCTCCTGACCCCAGCTCGGGTCTGAAATGCTGTACACTGTCCAGTGCCTTCGGACGTCCTCCCGACGTGAAAGGCGCTATACAAATGTAATGTTGTTGTTGACTAAGTAAATTAAGCGCTTTGGGACGTCTAGAAGACGTGAAAAGCGCTATAGCAAATGCAAGGATGATTATTATTTTATAAATTGGCCATGTTCACGCAGGAAAAGAGAAGATTGTGAGATGGCATGATTGCTGTCTTTAAGATTCCAAAGGAGCAAGACAACATACATCATGACAGACTGAATGTAATCTTGTTGTTGTTTCAACTTGTCCAGACTAGTAGAACCTGAGGACACGACCTGCGATTAAAGGGGGGGAAATTTAGAACGAATCTATGCAAACACTACTTCAGTGAGCGAATAGTGAACCTGTGGAACAGGCTCCCTGGATAGACGGTTGAAGCAGGAAGTGTTGGTTCTTTCAAACACAGATTAGATAGTTTTCTTTAAGGAAATACCAATACGGGATATAGTACATAGATAGTTCGGAACCTATGTGCATGTGATCGCCAGGAAGGTGGAAGGCGAACAAGATGGACCTTGGTCTTTTTTCGTCTAGAATATCTTATGTTCTTATGTTATGGTTTTCATGCCTCGGCAAATCTCTAGCATTCAGATACAGTGAGTCCAGACTCACAAAAAAATTAGCTCTTATCTAGCTTGTACATGGGTTGTTTTTGCATGTTTATTTCTGTCACCACAACCATTAGCAGCCTTTTTTATGGAAAGAAAATTGCCACCTCTTAAATAGGTTGTTTGGATCTAATACGCCCCAATTGATCGGCCTGCTGCTTTAAACATACTTCCTTGGGTAATAGCAACCGTGTTTCGATTAACTAATTATTTAACGGTGAGATTTTAATATCCTGACACTAATTGGTTTCTCTGTGAGCTTCAAGAAAATTAATAGATTGTTTTTAAGTGGGAGCAAAACCAGACTAAGTGAGACTAACTAATGTGAGTTTGAGGTCATAATTGCATCCAGAAGTTGATTGAAAGCTTTTATCAGGATTGTAAATTGGTGACTTTAACATTGTACTTTTAAGTGGCTTGAAGTCAATAAGGAGTCCTGTAGCTCAGTGGTTAGAGCACTCGCCTTGCAAGCGAGCCGCCTGGGTTCAATTCCAGGCAGGGCAAAACCTTGGGCAAGTTTCCTTACCCCACACACCTAATAATAATCCCTCCAAAACAAAACAATTATAAATTGGTCATTTCAATCCACGACTGTTTGTGGGACACTGCCGTGCACAATTAACTGCCGCTTTTCACCCACAAATATACAGTCAATTCACTTTACAGCATATTCTCTTTTTGTTTTTCAGACAGAGAAACAGTTCACATTAATAAGTTCCTCCTCATCCCTCCCACCCCCCACCCCCATTTATTTACTTAGAAAGTATATGAATTGTCTTTTTCTTTTCGCCCTGTCCTTTTAGCCCAACCTCTCTCTGTCCAGCCTGCCATGTCCTGCCAACCCAGCAATTGCAGAGGTTCCTCCCACTCAGCTCCTGTAAATCCTGCAAGCTAAAGCTCCAACAGAAAAGATGGTCCTAGCTTGTGAGACAGTTTTCTTAGTGTCAAGCTATGTTCTTTTAACTGGTTGGACTCCAGTTGTACTCCGTACACACTCTGAGGTCCCCAAGCCTCGGTCTTCACCAACCTGCACCTAATACTCTCCAGAATTCGTAAGCAGGGTGCATCCCTCGAGAGAGATTGTGTGTTCCATACCAGACACAGGGAAATTTCCATGTGTCAGTGGCATGCATATGTGGAGCTCTGTCTAGTTTGGTTAACGTGAAAAAGGACTTGGGGGTTCAATACTTTACTCCAAATGCCTCTGTTTACCAAGCTGTCAGTAGGAACCTGGTTGCTAGTCGATTGCTGGATCGCTTTCTGGGGGTAAAGGTTTGTATGTCAACCTGGCGCAGTGATAGCACTTTCGCATCTAAGTCAGAAGGCTGTGGGTTCAAGCCCCACTTCAGGTCTTGGAATCGCCTTATGTAAGCTGGCACTCCAATGCGTAGCTGGGGGTGTTAGGGGGGTTTGCCTTTATCAGAGGTGCCATTCTTTGGATGAGATGTTTAACCAAGGTTCTATCCGCCTGTTCATGTGCATGTTAAAGATCTCATGGCATTATTCAAAAAGAGAAGTTTCTCCCGGTGTCCAGACCAACAATCCCTCAAAATAAAATTGTTCACTCAATCCATGTTTGTTTGTGGGCCATTGCTGTGTGCAACTATTTGGGGTTTTTTTGCCAACAAAAAACAGTCAATTCACTTTACAGTATATCCTGGGCAGTACTTTGGGACATCTCAATAACATGATGAAGCGCTATATGAAATGCAAGGATTATTATTATTATATTCCTAAGCATTGTGATGAGTTTTTGCATGTTTCAAACCAGCTGACCAAAGCAAAAAATAATCTCCAAATTAAAAATGATAATGCAGAATTTATCTTTTGCAAAAGTTGGCACCATTTATCATTGATTCTTATGTTGAAATGGCTTAACTAGACATAATACTGTCAGCAGCTTTAAAGGGGACTAGCCTTCATAATGGCCTTTCTCAAAATACTGCACTTATGATAAGTATTCTGCACTTGCTTGACATTATACTATTGATAGCTCTTTGCAATGTGTGCTTTGTGCAATAAAAATAAATTCAAAAGATTTATAATACCGAGTCTAGCTGAATTGTTTAATGTCCTTCTATTCTAAGGAATTGAAATATCAGCCATAATTCTATAATGGTCATAGCTATAGGTTATATTGATGAGTGGGGGGATTCCCATTAGTATTAACTGTTCATTTGGTAATGCAAAACTAGCATAAGCTGATACAGCCCCAGAATAGCTGAACTCTTAACTCAAAAACATTATGGCATGTTTGAGTAGATTGCATTCAGGAGAGTGAACCCTTGCTGATTATTCTTCTCCATAGCCAAGGCTCATTGAAACTAGTTGTGCTATCATGCTGCCCACCACAGTCCTTCTCAATGGCTTCTCAATGCAATTACCTTGTAAAGTAGACACGTACAAAAAGTAAACCCAAAACAATATTTTCAGATATGGCTTGGCATCAGTAACAGAGAGCATAGCTTCAGGTTTGGGAAGGACAATTTTGGGACAGATTTCTGGAAGTGTTTCCTTACAGAGATCTAGAATCCTGAGGTTATTTAAGGAAAACTGTGACAATTTAATGGGAGGACGGTAGAGTGGGTATTCTGTAAGGATGAGATCAAATTGGTTCAAGGAGTTTTTCATTCAAACCTCTCTTGTGACATTTTTTAAACATTGAGCTGAAGAGGAATGGTTTGTTTTTTGGGGCTGATCATCAGGAAAAACAATCAACAAACTTGTAACCAAGTAAGTAAAATGGTGAATGTTTTATTATTGCTTCATTATTGTGTTATTCTCAATAAACTAGTGTGACAATTATCAAATCAATAATCTTTATTTAATGTCTTCATCATAGGGACCTGGCTGCTCGTAACTGCCTTGTAGGTGAAAGCAATGTACTGAAAATCAGTGACTTTGGCATGTCGAGACAGGAGGATGACGGGATCTATTCATCTTCGGGCTTGAAGCAGATTCCTATCAAATGGACAGCTCCAGAGGCCTTAAATTACGGTGAAAGAACTCTTCCATCTAAAATATGTTATCTCCTTCCTCAGTTTTTAGGGCAGTTTTTAATGACATTGAAATGTTATTGCATAGAGAAATTTTATTTAAAAATAATTCTATTGAGGAAAAGCAGGGTTTTAATTGAAACCCATTTTAAGATTGTATTTTACAATTCGGTAACCCCTTTAGTGTAATGTTCCTCCATTGCAATCTTGGCAATGGGCATAGTTTGCAATTGCTCGATATTGAAACCCACTGCTAATTAAAAGCTTGTCTGATTGTTATTTGCCTCTAAAAGATCATAGAGGATCGTTGAGTGCTGATTTGGCAAACCCAGCATGCCGTGCCTTTGTTCAGAGGGTGTGAATTTGCTAGCACTATACGGACACAATGGGCCTGACCTTTTGTACTGAAATTTCAATGATTTTCACTTTGCACAACAAATTTTCCAATGTTGCCTTGCATGGAGGACTAGTAAATTAGTTATGCACCACTCAACACATGATCAAAATTGAGAAGACCTAAGCAGATGGGGAAGAAATAAAAACAAAAGAGGTGGTGGGGGGTGGCGCTGAACACCAAACAGCTTGATCCTGTGAGGGGGTAATGGTGTGGTTAGTATTCTGAAAAAATGAGATCAAATAGGCTGAAGGGCCTTCCTCACTGTACCTTTCTTGTTATCAGTTAGAAAATGTCCTTGATGAAAATGAATGTATTGAATTTCGCTTGGGGCTTTTACAGGGTCCCAGCCTTATCGAAAACATTCCCCATCCTCCATTGTTTAGTGGAAATATAGGAGACAGTGGCTGTAATATTGCTGTTGGATTCAATAACACATTGTCTGAGTTGTGTAGTTGATTTGCGTGAGTCACATAAATTGGTAAATACAACTGCTCAGCATTTGACACGCAAAACCATACTAAATTAGAAAGGGGTTCCACTGAATGAGTAAACATGACGACAGTGCTTTACATGTAGTATTGTAATAGTTAAATACATATTTAATATTACTCACATTTAATAAAGCACTTTATTGCATTTCAGTTACATTTCAATAAGCAGAAAACCATGTATGAAACTAATGTTTGATGTACTTTTCTGTCAAATAGGGCGATACAGTTCAGAGAGCGATGTGTGGAGCTATGGAATACTCCTGTGGGAGACTTTCAGCTTGGGAGTGTGTCCATATCCTGGAATGACAAATCAGCAAGCTCGAGAACAGGTTGAAAAAGGTACAGTAATGATAGCGCGAGGAGCGAAATGCTGCATAGAAATCTCATAATACTCATAATTCGATGAGTTCTATTTTGAGTGTATTACTGTCTTTTTATGTGGTTTGCAAGCAGTTCAAATTGCCTTAACTTTATCATCCACTTTATGAGTTGTGTAAAATCTTTCAAGTTTAGCTACTTTAGATACAATATGCAAAGAAATCTCTTACAGACAATTTGATAGCAATGGCAAGAACATGTCCTTGATTCAACATTGAGCTGACTTTAAGAGCATCTGAAGTTCCATTCAAAAGGTGGTGCTGGACCAGAATTGGTAATGGGGAGAGGGAGAAAGGAAAATGCTATGAAATACTGAATGAACTGTGTCCTAATCAACTACATTTTAGCTCTTTGTAAGGTTACAGTAATGAGATAAATCATTTTTAGTATCTGCTTATGTGGATGTTTACTGCAATACTCTTAGCTGTCAATCACAAGAAAAATTTCAAGAGACTAGAAACCACAATAACTTCAAAACCGATGGGATTTCAAAAATCCACTTCTATTGCACAAGAACTGCAATGTGACAAATTAAAAGGAAAACAGTTATTACTGTCTAATCGAATCCATGGGCTTCTATTGATGAGTATAAACCATTCATGCTCCTCCTCATCCAAACTGCAGTTAGACAGGAGCTTCTAATCAGTCCCCAGTAGCCAGTATCCTCCATGTAATTATTTTTTTAAGCACTTTGCTATGGGTTGGTATTTTAGATTGAGTGTATCTTGAGTGATTAGAATCTCATCCCTTCAGTGTCACATCAATGAATGTTAAAATGGACTTGAAACCACCAGAAGTGTTGCGTGGTTGTAAAGTGACTTGAATTTATATCGTGTTAGCAGTTAGCTGTAATGTATTTATACTACAGGTAATTTAATAGTGCACAAAGAGTAAAATAGCAAAATAAAATAACAAAAAAAAAGAATTTATGATCAGTTTTCTAAAATTAAAATAGCTAAAATTTAAAGAAAAGATGTTTTAAAGGTTCTTCTATATCATGTTGTTTTATGTATTAACAATTCTCCCCTAGTTGACATGAGCAAAGCTTTCCATATTTCTCAGTAGATTTCCAGTGAATGTTTTTACTTAAGGGCTGAGTTATTTGGGGTTTGCTTTAAGTATGCATCTGCCATAAGCAAGTAAAAATTATAGTCTACCAATGTTGCGGGCGAGTCCACCCAGACAAATTTCCTTTCTCTAAAACCTGCCAAGATTAGATAGGTGTCTATAGTGTGTGGCAAACAATTGGACAAGTACTGTACATTTTGTCGTAAGCCTGCAAAAGTTTAAAACAATTGCCCATATCACGGCACACCACCAGTGGTGGCTCAACAACTGGCAACACTTGACTGTTCAGGTTAGGTATCTACAGGCCTCAAAATCAGACCTCTACTCTGTTACTCCAAGTCATTCTTTCCTGTAATCACTTTAATTAAAGTTTGAAAATAAGTACAATTTTGCATATCATTTTCTTCAGATTAATCTGTTCTGCAGTTTAGCACATACCACATAGCATTATTTGCAAATAAAAAGAGTGTCAAAATAGTGAACATAAACTCTCCCTATCTGTCTCACAAAATTCAATTATTAAAAGTGAAGAGAAAGTGAAGAAAAATATAGGAACCTGATTTTGCAAGATAGTACCATACAGAGCTCAACAACAACAGCAAATTGCATTTATACATCGCCTTCCACGGCGGGAAGATGTCCCAATGCATTGGATGTTGTTCCAAGGAGGAGGATATCCCAAGAGGCTTCTTTGCACCTGAGCTGGGGGGGTGGGGGTGAGGATGGGAAAATGACTGAAGATGTGGTCAAAGAGGAAGATCTTGAGACGGATTTGAAGGAGATGAGGGAAGGGACAAGGTGAAGGGACTCAGATGGAGTTCCAGAGATTGGTGGCAGAAAGGCTGAAGGCCCAACTACTGATGGTGGAGTGAGCCGGGCAGGGGACGTGAAGTGGACCAGTGCCTGGTGAGAGGAGGGTTGGCAGAATTTTAGAAGGTCACAAATGTATGGAAGGGCAAGACCACGGAGATATTTAAAAGTGAAGATGAGGATCTTGAACTTGATCCTTTGGGGAATGGGGAGCCAGTAGAGCCGGGCAAGGATGGGAGGGTCATGGAGCCAAGTTCCGGAGAGGACACGAGCTGCAGAATTCTGAATGGTCAGCAGCTTGTGGAGGGACGTATTGGGAAGTCCAGCAAACCCTATCCACATCAATGGTATTCAGCTAACCGATCATTAATTATATGTACAAATTTTGTAAAGTTGTGTATAGTATTAAAGCGTTAAGGAGGCAGTGTGGGACCTGAACTGTGGGACACTGGGCAGTGGATTATTGAGGTTCTCCGGTTGAACAGCAGAAAAACTATGTGAACTGATTGAGAAAAAATGCTTAACTTAAAGTCTCTATATTTAACTGACTCTGCTCTTGCAATGCAGTGTGGAGTTTCAGAGAAACCCAAATACTTTGGGAACTGATCATGCAGTAGATCTAGGATTGCCATTTTGCAGCCCTCATTACGTGTGTGTAAAATAGTCATGTGGGCCAAAAGTTGGCCACCCTTAATGTAGATGATGCCATAATTTTTTAAAATTCGAGCCATGTTACAGTACCAACCTTTTTTAATATGTTGCTTTTTAGTACTTATTTCATACTAGTGGCTTTAATTATCCTTTCATGCTGTGGTTCAGATTGAAACAGCTTGAAATGCGAATTGCAGTAATCTTTTTAATTGAGTGAAAAAATGCACAGCGGAATAATCACTAGCAGCTGCTGTTGTATCCACAGAAGGATTATAGGGTTTTTTTCTGAAACATTACAATGTAAATTATTTATTTAAGTAAGCAGAAAGATTATTTGGCAAAATAGAATGTCACAGAGTTTAAGGCACAACCTGTCTGGATTACTGGCTCAGGACTAGCATAGAAAACCAGTCCTCTCAGTTGGCTAAATATGGTAATCACTAGTATTTTAATTTTCTTCAGTCTTGATAACCTTACGCTTTATAAAGATATTTTACGTGTATTTCTCCTTTAATCCTTTCACATCTCTCTGAATGGGGTCCAACATTGCAACAGTGTTCTCATCAAAATTGTGCTATGCAGTAGTGCATCATTTTGGGGCAGCGTTGTATTTAGGAAGGCAGGTATAATTGAAACTCCAATTTACTCAAAATATAACTAATATCTTATTATTATCTTCTTAGTGGTTTCCAGAAGTGCAGTTACAGAATTAAATTGTGTCACTTTTTAAGCATAGCCCAGAGTATTTTAAAACCCTGTATTAAGGGCTTTGTCAGGGTAAAGACTGAAGGTCTGAAATGTTACTGAAAGCTGCAGAAATATCATCTAATGGGGGAGCAAAGTACATCTTTGTTGCCTGCATTCATCAGCTTGCTGCACTGCTGTATCATTCAAAAATGTGTTTTTAAACCTTTGCAGGTTACAGAATGTCAACACCACAGAAATGTCCAGAGGAAATCTATAATATAATGCTGAGATGCTGGGAGTACAAACCAGAAAACCGACCAAATTTCAGCGATATACACAAAGAACTCACAGCCATCAAAAAGAAAATAACGTAGTGAAATGGATGGATAAATGTTGACCGTAGGAAATTCAGTATTCATTTGTTGAAAGGAATTCAGGAGGTTCAAAATATCGATTTTCTTTGTTGCATTTATAAAGTATTGTAGAATGTATTATAATGATCATGTACACTTTTTATTTTGCATCAGTATAATTTTTGCAATTTATAAATGTTTTTCTTTATGTTGTATTTTTGGCCTACTGAGTATTTTATCCGTAAAGTACATCATGGAGACAAAGTTTTGTGATGCATTTTAAAAATATAAATAACCAAATATTTTCACATCCCAATGTTTTTTTTGAAAAGAAACTAAGAATGATCATTGTCATAGTAAGTTAATAGAAAAGGCAAACCAGGATTTGGAATGGAACAAACTTCATCCATTTAGTTGGTGCTGGTGGGTTGTCCTGGAGTGGAGTTGCTCTGTTTTAAATTACTATTGAAGACGGCTGCCACTGTTCATAGCAGTACTTTAGGAAAGCTATGTCATGGGTCAGGCAGATTCTTTGTGCATTTGTTAAAAAGCATTGACTTACCTGCCCACGCCACTGCAATCAATTAAAACTTCTAAATCATACAGACACTGTTTAAAAAAAGGTCAAAAGTACCAGCAAAAATTCTGTGTATTATAACAACTACTTGGCGTCCTTCACGCATCTTAGGCCTAAATGTTTTGTATGCAATTTAATGGTTCGGGTTACAATTTTTGACTATGTTGGGACAAGTCTTCCATGATGTGCTTTAGTGATGTGAAGTGCAAGTGCTGTTTTAATTTTTTTAAAATCTTCCAAGGTTTGCTAACTCTTTGTGTAATTAATTTGCAAACACCAGTTAGAGTCTGACTGTTAACATGTCTGAATGTTTTGCAATAGCACTGGGCTTTGGCCAACTTTGCTTTGTCAATTCTTTCCATTTTCCTCAAGCTGCTGCCTCTTGTTTTGGTATTTTCCACAGGCCTTTCACATGGTCTGATAACTGCTTCAAGTGACCGGCCAGTTGTCATGTGTAAGCCTTGACAATGAATATTAGCAGGACTGTAGAGCCAGGACCGTCAAGCTCGAGCTTGTTACCAGGTTCACACATTTGCACTCTCCAGCAGGAGTCAGGAGGTGGTAATTCCAATTGGAGTTCCAGTTCCTGACTTATTTTTCCTCTTCACAACCCAGGACATAGGGCTCCAACTACCACTCAAGCTGAGATCAACTAATTCAGCATATAATATCCTGCAACCTTCTGCGTGGCTGAGTGTTGGGTCCTAGTGTTGTTGTGATTCACTATGCCATTACGGGAGCTCTATTGGCCAACGTGTAACAGTAACTATTGTACATTGTTTTGCTATTCAGATATCATTGAGTAAATATTAAATTAGCCACTTGAATGCCGATATACCTTTGCAGCTTTCAAAGTATAAAATTCAAAATTGAGATCTAGTTTCATAAAGCATCTGCGAGAATCCTACTCTTACTTCCAATGAGAAATGTTATTCTACAATAGGGTTAGAGAAACCTGCATAATCGTGGAGAATTACTTAAGTCAGAATATTGGGAAATGATCAACAAGCAGCAAGTTTGACTTTGATGGCGAAATGCTACGGCATTCCCCAAAAGCTTCTTAGAAACTCAACCCCATACCTGGTGATTTCTGTCTGTTTTATGACAAAACATATGGAAGGAAATGTGCTCAGTGCCAATGCTAATCTTCCTCAGTGATGGTTTCTTTAAATAATGTGCACTGTTACAAAAGTGGCTTATGATCCTGCTAAACATGTCAATACTCCCAACAGCAGCAACTTTTGATCATGTGGTCCAGACCTGTGCATGGCTTGGCAGAGCACTCTGTCAGCAGGAGATTGCTTCAGAGAATGCATCACATCTCCTAACAATTTAGCAAAACTTTATGTGGACTTTATGCAGATATTGTACTGGTATCAGCTTCAGTGTTCAATACTAATATTCAATCAGATTTTAAAGGTGGCTTGCAACACATTGGTGCTTCAAAGATTCAAATATTGATTATGGCTTTAATGTATGTATGTCTCATACAACACTTTACTGCTGTCCCCTCAATTCCTGTTTTCCAGCATTCCCTCCACTTGACTCCCTGTCCTGAACATATTTCAGTCGTCTGGTTCTCACTCCCGCAGCTCTGAATGTGCGGAAGCAAAGAAATAAACAAGGATTCAAAATCCCAGCACACAGGCTAATCAACACCCATTGCATCCAAAAAATGTTTCATTAAGATTCACTGTCGGATGATACCAGTCTCTTTATTCATGCTGTAAGTGTGACTCTGCAGTCCAAATTCAGAAGAGGGTTGTGTACTTCATTAATCATGGATTATCATTATTAATAACAGTTTGGGTTCCACATTTGAATCTTTCTCTGGAATTGTGTTGAATATCAGTTTATGATGTTCAGGAACCATAGCTACATTTTGATCTGCAGTATTTTGAAATTCTCAATCATTGGACTAGAGCTGATATGCAGTAGTAATCATGAAACGTGTTGAAATGCTATACCGTACTTTAAATCATCATGATTTTATCAGTGACGTATTTGCAGTATTTTCAAATATGCAAGTTTTAACAAATTTTCATGATTTTTATTTCAAACCATGTTTACAAAAAAAAAGCAAATTTATGTACCTTTCTGTTTATTTTTAATGTGTTCAGCCAATTTTTGTCTATCGCAAGATTGAACTTTGCTGAAAATAATGTGATTTACATTACTTTTAAAGCTGAATCTGTCTTGTATGTATCAGTACTATATATAGGAATTTTATAGATTCAGATTCTCTGGAATTACTGTATTAATAGAAACTAAATAAGCTGTGCTCAGTATATTTTAAGTACTTTGTGCAGCACTTACTGAATTTTATTTAACAGCCTTTCAATCGTTTTTTAAAAATATTTTGTACTTAACTCATCATAAAGCCTTTAGTTTAACCAAAAGTTATGTTGATTATCTAATACCGTCACAGACTTAACCAGTGTTTAATTGCTTTCATTTTTATTGTTCTGAGGCAAATTGAAGTTTTACCAAACATGTCATTTGTTCCACAAAAAAAACAATAGTAGTAAAAGTAAACATTAAGTTAGTACAGGAAGTAGCAATATTTGCAGGTAATGGGTGCTTCAGAGAGTATCAGTTTTTCTTAAAAATGTCAATATTCTGTAGTGAGAAAAAGTGAACATGTGCTGTCACCTAAAAGTTATTAGATAGCGTCAGATTAGAAAAATGGTTCTTTGTCAACTCAGTTCCAAAGGGATTATGTTGCCTAGTGGATGTTAATTCTTCTTACTAGTAACTGTATTTTATTTTGCTTCCATCAGATATGATTTGCAAACTTAAGTAGTGAAAACTTTATGATTGAAAGTGCTTTATAGGAACACCTAGAATGCCACCACTGTCCGTTAGTCAGTAAGATTTCAGTAAAGAGTAATAGTGAGCCTCAGACATTTCCATACGACTTCCATTTAAAAATGTGAAAATGACACATCAGTACAGTTATAGATTTTACCTTCCAAATGCGTGTGTGGCTGAAGCATTTTGATTAATAACAGCTCGAAATGCTGGAGGTTGTAGGTCTGGTACTGGTATGAACAATTTGAGGTTGTAAAATGCCACTAAAAATATGACACAAGAAGAATATTGGTACAACAATAATCCTTGCATTTGATATAGCGCCTTATCATGTCTTCGAGATGTCTCAAAGCTCTTCACAGAATATACTGTAAAGTGAATTGACTGTATATTTTGTGGACAAAACAATAACAGTAATAAAGTATTGTTGCCTTGCATGTGATTTCCCTAGGCATATTGGTGCTAATAAGCTCAATCAACCTAAATGGCATTCCCTTGTCATTAGTGTGGTTTACCAAATCAAAATGCATTTTAAAAAATGAGCTTTTGTATACAGTAAATTTAAATTCATAAAATAAGTTGGAGGAGTGGGACTAATTTGGACGGCTCTTTCAAAGAGCCGGCACGGACATGATGGGCCAAATGGCCTCCTTCTGTGCTGCATAATTCTATGATTCAAAGTCCACAATATGTATTTTGACTCAACTCAGTTATTTAGTTGCAATAAAGCCACACTATCACTGAATATCTGCACTGAACTATTCAGCAGTCACTGTTTTGAATTGTATGTATTGTCACAGGTATAGATGTATACAGGGCGAAGCTGTTACAGAGCAGTCAACTGGGTCCAATACCTCAGCAGCCACATTATAGCAAGGTCCAAAAAAGAAGTGTGATTTCCTTGTGATCAGGTTGTTATTGTCACTTCATACATACTGTGCATACGATTAGTGCTGCTGACATCACGTCCTTTAGCAGCGCTTCCTGTGCATGTGCCAAAATCGGCTTTTATTTATCGCAGGAAGTCGGCCCGTTAGGGTCAGATTAGGGTGTTTCCCCTTCCAGTTTGGTTGGGTCCTCGGGAAAACAACCAACCCAACTGCGCTATAAGTGAAGCTGTTCTAATGGGGTTGCCATACAGTTAGTTTCTCCATGAAATTTAAGTGTAGTAAGACGTGTTTGACAGCTGCCTTTGGGATGGAACAAGTGTTTTTTTTAAAAGTGCAAAACTTAATAATGAATAGATGAGCCAGATGTTAATTGGTTTCGTAGAAAGATGGTCTTTAAGACCATTCCGCTAATGGTATATTTTTATAGGCATGCGTAAATATGTATTAGTCGTTATTGGCATCCCTTTTAGTTTTTTTCCCTTCACGCTGTTTTATTTAGATCTTTAATCTGTTAAACAGACACGTTTCTATGTTGAATTGTTGAATATAAAGTGGAGAATAAAGAATGGGTAGGATTGTATTGACTATCTTATACTATATCATTGTGCCATGTAAGTATCATAGTGTACTACTGCCACTTAATATTGCTAAATTGTTCATTTAAAAAAAAACAAGGAAGAATGGATGGGTTAAGGCACTGTCCTTTCCTTACTAGAACTCTTGCTCACACTTAAGGGATGCAAACCCCCACCTTCTCCTCTATTTTCTGTAAGACAAGTGAGACAGAGGGATTGTTACAATCCAACTTGTAGTGGACACAAGTCCTCCTGTTTTTCCTCTGGTATTATTCTATTGACTCAGATGTATTTAGCACACTACAAGGAATAGTACTGATCCTTTGCCTTGATCATGGTGTGAAAGTATCTAAAAGTAGAATATTTTGGAATCTTTAGTTCACTATTTCAGTACAACAGTGGTTTAATGTGGACACAGTGGAATTGAAGCTCTGCTTTTCTGCAGTGTGCTCAAAGGTTATGTTTCTACTAACAAGTAGTACTTTTTGCCAGTTAATCTATAACCCATACCAGTCATAATGAACAGTTGAGGAACTGAACTGTGTAGGGAATTTCATATGGACCAGCAGGATGTTCTTTTGTGCCATATCCACCACATCCTGAATATATGTTATAAATGCACCTTTTCCAACGTTAGGCTTCTGTATAAAAGCAAATTTTCAACACTGGAACTGTGATTTTCTTAAATGCCTTAAATTTCTCTCAAGGTCAAAGTGTACTTTTGAAAGTAGATACTCCCTTTTTTAAAAAAAAGTCTTTTAAGCATGTATAATATTTCTGCCCCAAAACAGGAAAAAAAAGCCGAAAATCACAAGACCGAAAGCTGATGCGTCCATTTTGGGGGAATTTTGTTTGAATATCATACCGAAAAAATGTATCTTTTTGTAAATTTTTAACACATCTTCTGTTGTAACATTTATTTATTTATACTTTTTTCTACAGTGATTTTTACAGGGATTATGAATTGGTTTAATGCATTGTCATATCTCTGTATTCAGTGCTCTTGTGAATTGCAGACTTGTTCCTGAACTGCTTCTGTAATGAGTGTCGTAATGGACCAAATACCACTAACAAGTCTGCTGTTGATATTTATAATGTAACCTCTTAATAAACGGAAAGGACTGTCAGTGTGTTATCGTCATCCCTGCTTCAACTCTTGCTGTGAAATTGGCTTTGAGATGTGATGTAAGATTTGTTTAACTTTTTATGTTATATCTGATTAGATCTAATGCCTTTTCCTGCAGTTTCAAACCCTCTGAGATCTCCACCCGATGTAAAAGCCAGTATATAAATGTAAATTGTATTATGCAAAATACTAGTCCATAGCACAATGGTGTTTCCATTCTTGCTGTACAATATCAGCATCAATCACTTGCAGGATAAATAGAACAATCAGAGGCAGAGTAAAGCTTCCCTTATCTCTGCCACAACAACTTGTTTTAAAGTCACATTTATCCCACACAAGCCATTTTATAACCTTGAGTGCAATTTTAATTTAGTGTTGGTCAAATCGTACCAAGACTTTCTTCTTCAATCAAGACTATAGTCACTTCCCCTTTCTCCCCAGCACAGCATCATACTCTGCTACTGTTCAACACTCCAAAATGCGACTGTGCATGAAGGGTGCTATTAAAAAATCAAGTTGTAGTTTGGTCTATATGGGCAATTTTATGCTATAATCCAGTGCCAGTAAGTAATACTGCTGAGATGGCTTTAACCTGATTCCCAAAAGGATAGTGAGTGGCAAATGCAAAAGAATTGGATCCCTTTAAATTATCTTAAATTATCCCTTCCACCTCGACTGCGTTCAAACTTTGGCCCCAGAGAAGAAAGGACAAAAGTTAGGTTATAATCAAACTGAATTACTACCTCTTATCAGTTTTAAAATCTAGAATTCAATATATAACAACTTGCATTTATATAGTGCCCTCCACGCAGGGTATATAATGCCAAAAGAAAACTATATTAAAACAAGTACAGTATAACAAAAATAAAGCCAGCCTTCAAAATAAATGGAATCATTATAGCAACCTTTCACATTTTGTTGACGTGAAGAGTTGCATTTAGTACATTTCCAGCCTTGACAGTTCCAGTTGCATTGACATCTGTATTTAGGAGATTCATTATTTTGTTACTATTTGTGGTATAAACAATGCTAAACCCGAAGTCCAGATCAGAATTGGAGTGGTATTTCTTTACGGGTGGTACAATAATTAAGGATTTTTTGTAGCTGGTATATTCTCTGTGGTAACATTTTGTACTGTCTATATCGAGAGGATATCATTAACTTGTGCAACTCTGCTCAATACCAGCCGTCTTAGCTTCTAGCTACTGGTGCATGGAGATTGATATTCACCACTGTCACTCAATTGACCAAATATATTGGGACTGCTGTTCCTCTCTGCTCACGTTGAAAGTTCAACAGAGCCAAATGAACTTCTGACGGCTCCAGCAATTTGATCCTCCTGCTTAGAAAATCGAAAACACTGGATTCTGGCAGGCTTTGGGTGAGCTGGCACGACACCACCTAGTGATACTCTGCCCTCTGTTTCAAAGAGAGATACCTCATCCCAAAATAAACGAGCTTAGATAGTTCCTAACGGGAATTTCAGAATGTTCCTAAAAAAAAGTTCTGTGATTGAAGGATTTTAATAATTTGTGAACTGTTTGTGGTGTTACCTGTGTGCCTTTCACTTCTGGGCAGTTCTGCCTAATTATTGAGGTACGATGATGACGTGAAACCCTCTTTTGCAGAGATCTGCTGTGACTGTCACGGTGAGCGTGCTGAGAGCAAAACACTCTAATATTGACAATAATTCTGACTGATTATGGGAAGAAAGTAGGGTCTTCAGATGCTGCTGGAAATCTTTACTTAAATTATTTAAGCAACACAAACAAGCAGTAGTACAGTCTGAAATTGAGAAATATCTTTTGAAGATTTTTTTAACATCCAGAACATGAATTTGCATTCAATTTAGGATTGGGGTTCTATGTAACAACAAGCGAAAATAATAATAATAATAACCTTTCCATTTGATATAGCGCAGTATCACGTCTTCAAGGTGTCTCAAAGTACTTCGCAGGATATACTGTAAAATGTAGTGACTGTATTTTTGTAGGCAGACTGGGTATTTTGTACTGTGGACAGTAATGTCTCAAAACCAGCCATGGAGTGAATGACCCATTTTATTTGAGGCATTGCTGGCCAAGATACCGAGATTATTCAAATAATCATGGGATCCAGAACAGGTAGGTGGGGCCTCAGTTTAATGTCTTATCTGAAGGAAAGCTCCTCCAACAATGCTGCACACACTCAGCACTTTGTTGGTATGTCAGCCTTGACATTGTGAGTTCAAAGTCTGGACATGGGGGTTGAACCCACAACCTTCAGGACCAGGCTGTAAAATCACACCATTTCAAAAGCCACTATGACTGGTAGGAATAGGCAATTGCAAAAGGCAGAGTTCAGTACTGAACACTGAAATGGGCAATAGGAAACTAAAACAACAACAAAATTACATTTGTAAAGCACCTTTCACGTCGGGAGGACGTTCCAAGGCACTTCATAGTTAGGGATCAGGACCTGAGGGTAGGGACAGGGTTGGGATGAGGGAGGGCAGAGGGGCGAGGAGGGTGGCTGAAGGCATGGTTCTTGAGGCATGCCTTGTAGGAGGCAAGAGAGAGAGCAAGGTGAAGGGATTGTGGGATGAAGTTCCGAAGAGTGGGAGCAGAGGCTGAAAGCCCAGCCGCTGATGGTAGGGTGGATTGGGCAGGAAATCTCGTCTAAATGTCTAAAATCTCACGGTTCTCACCTCCTCCACCTACCCGACCTCCCCCTGAAACGCTCTGAACCTGTACACAACTTAGGCGTCAGTTCGACCCCCCAATTATCCTTCCCACATCCGGTCCCTCACCAGCACATCTTTCTTCCACCTCCCGACGCATCGCCCGTCTCCGCCAATACCTCTCCCCAAAAGCCACTGAAACCCTGGTCCATGCCTTTGTCACCTCTCGGCTGGACTACTCCAACGCCCTCCTCGCCGGTCTCCCATCCATAAAATCCAAATCATTCAAAACTCTGCCGCCCGCATTCTCACCCGCACGAAACTTCGTTCCCCGATCACCCCAGTCCTTGCCAGACTGCACTGGTTGCCTGTCCCAGAGAGGATCGATTTCAAGATCCTCACCCTTGTATTCAAGTCCCTGCATTCCTCTGCACCCCCCTACCTCTCTGACCTCCTCTCTCCTTAAATCAGTACCCGTTGCCTTTGTTCCTCCGGGTCTGGGCTCCTCCTCGTCCTCCGCTCCAAACCTCGGCGGCCGTGCCTTCAGCCACTATGCCCCGAGGCTCTGGAACTCCCTTCCTCACTCCCTTCGCCTCGCCCCATCTCTTCCTATTTTCAGGTCTCTGCTGAAGACCTCTTTTTTCGACCGCCCCTTTGGTCACCTTCCTCCCCCTCCCCCTGGCTCGGTCTCAGTATCCGTTACTCTGAAGCACACTGAGACACCATCTGGTATGGAGAGCACTATATAAATCCAAGTTGTTGTTGTTGAAATCTGGAGCAGGCTGGAGCCTGCTGAGCGGAGGGAGTGGACAAGGTATTAAGTGGCCAGCTGGTCAGAGATGTAAGAGGGAGCAAGGCCGTGGAGGGCCTTGAAAGTGAGGACGAGGATATTAAATTCCTCTGAGGGATGGGGAGCCGGTAAAGCCGGACAAGGGTGGGGGTGATAGGGTCACAGAGCCTGATGTGGGAGAGGGTATGAGCTGCAGTTTCCGTTGTCGAGCCTTGAGGTGACGAATGCGTGTATAAGGGTTTCAGCAGCCTGGGGTGAGGCAGTGGTGGTGTCGGGCAATGTTGCATAGTTGGGGAGAGGCAGAGCAGGTCATGACACGAATATCATAGAATCATAAAATTATACCGTACAGAAGGAGGCCATTCGGCCCATTGTGTCTGTGCCGGCTCTTTGAAAAGAGCCGTCCAATCAATCCCACTCCATCGCTCTCTCCCCATAGCCCTGCAAACTTGTCCTTCCCAAATAATTATCTACTCTCTTAAAAGTTGTCATCGAATCAGCTTCCACCACCCTTCCAGGCAATGCATTCTAGATCTAAACAACTCGCTGTGTGAAAAAAATTCTCCTCACCTCCCCTCTGTTTCTTTCAACAATGATTTTAAAACGGTGTCCTCGGGTTACCGTCCCACCCACCAGTGGAAATAGTTGCTCCGTGTTCACCCTATCAAATTCCCTCACAATTTGAAAACTTCTACTAAGTCTCCTCGTTACCTTCTCTGCTCCAAAGAGAATAATCCTCGCTTCTCTCTCCTCTCCTGATAACTGGAGTCCCTCATTCCTGGTACCATCCTGGTAAATCTCCTTTGCTCCCTTTCCAATGCCTTGACATCCTTCCTAAAGTGTGGTGCCCAGAACTGAACACAGTACTGTAGCTGAGGCCTAACCAGTGTTTTATAAAGATTTATCATAACTTCCTGACTTTTATATTCTATAGCCCTATTTATAAAGCCTAGTATCCCGGATGCTTTTTAACAGCTTTACCTACCTGTCCGTCCACCTTCAAAGATTTACTTATATGAACCCCAGTTATCTCTGTTCCTTCACCCCCTTTAAGATTGTACCATCAGCTTATATTGCCTCTCCTCATTCTTCCTCCCAAAATACATCACTTCGCATTTCTCCACATTAAACTTCATTTGCCACATGTCTACCCATTTTACCAGTCTGTCTATGGCTGTTACTATCCTCCTCACTGTTTACTATGGGGGAGAAAGGATAGTTGAGGGTCGAACAAGATGTCCGGGTTTCTAACTGACTTAGTGAGGTGGAGTATGCAATCGTGGATTCTGATGCTGCCAGTGCCTGAGGTGCGGAGGCGCGGGTGGGTGCGAGTCAATCAGAAGAGCCTCAGTCTTGCTGACATTCAGCTGTAGAAAGTTGGCTCTTATCCAGGATTTGATGTGAGACAGGCAGTCTGCAGGACGTGAGTTGTCCTGGAATCGAGGGTGGAGGCAAAGAGATAGAGTTGGGTGTCATCTGCATACATGTGGAAGTTGACCCCTGTGGATGATGTCACCAAGGAGGAGCGTGTAGAGGTTGAAGAGGAGGGGAC